ATATACTAAATGGTCATGTGTGCAAACAGGCTGTGAGACAATTGTGCAGAGTAAAGATATCATCAATCCCTCATCTTTCCCTGTGTATGAGGAGAGGGGGACTCTGCAGAGAAATGAAGAATTCATACAAGAGGTCCATAGACCATACAGAGAGTGCCGGCCTGTGCTGCGCCCAGGAGCCCCTAGGTGGCAGTGCGCCCTAGGTGACTACCTAGTTTGCAAAGCGGAAGCACCAGCCCTGATTATACAGTATACAATTTTTGCTTTACAAGTAAACATTTAAACGTGACAAAGGATTCCCATAGAACTTTGAATTAGCTGAATTGAGGTGCTAATCTCTTTCAGGTATACTGTCTGTTATTGGAATTTTTGCTCTACAAATAAACATATAATACAGGGTGCAATGAAAAAGGATTCCAGAACACTACGTTTTCGACACAGCTGAAGTTCTTTTAAAGTGGTTGTAAACCTCAGACATGAAATATGAACAAAGCATATCCCTCTATAGTGAGTACTTGTCTCAATAAAGAACACTAAGCATAATTTCTGTCTAGTGCTTTATTTCTTTGCTATCAGTATGAATCACTTCTGATATGTTTTTCTGATACCAAGTGAAAAATGGTGACAGAGGAGGGACCTCCAGCAGCTTCACAGCCTTAGCTCTGTTCCTGTGAGCTGTGTAGAGGGGTGTGTCTCTTCCCTCCAATCAGCTCTTAGAGCTCTCCTCACTGAGCTCTGCAGAGTGTAACTTCAGTTCCCACCCCTTTTATATGAACTCTCATACCAGCTTTATAAATTCAGCACTTCGTACGGATATAGAAAAGAGAACACTGCAGATAATCAGGTACAACTTATGTAGGAGGATTTGTTTCATCTTTGTGTATCAACTGAGGTCAGTCACTTCACTGGGTATATGTAAGTGTTTACAACTACTCTAAGGCACCCAGCCTCTAATAAAGCCTGGGAGGGAGCAACAGACAAGAGAGGAAGAGAGCGATTAGTCACTATTCAGACTTTCAGCTTGAGCAACTGAACTTTGTAAACATATTTTTTTTTCAACTAGAAAACACTTTAAAAGGAACTTAGATCTTCACTTGATGGCAGCATATGAAAATATTGAATGTTCATCTGCAATATGAATATTAACTTGAAAACAAATGTTATTTTAAATTTTATTTTGTAGCCTTGACCATAATATATTCAAAACCACTACACATGCCTTTAAAAGAAAGGATCAATTATATTGCACAACTAGATGCTGAACTTTTTAGATTTTGTGATTCCTCTATTTGCTGCAGTTATGAGATGCACAGGCCCATGCAGGGGCGGACTGACCATTTGGAAACTCAGGCACTGACCAAGAGCCCGGGGTCAGTAGGGGGCCCCATGAGATGCCCCTGGTACCTTTTTCATAGGCTTTTTTGAGTTTGGGAAAGGACACAGGGGCCCCATGATCCCCTATTGCCCGCGGGCCCCATGAGTTGTCAGTCCGCCCCTGGGCCCATGGCAGTTTATAAATGCATTACAGGCTGTATGAGATGTGGTCACAGGTTCACATGTCTCAGACCATATAAGGTCTTATAATTAGAGAATGTATTACTAAGTACAGTGTCTCATTACCCGTCCTGCCATGGGATAATACTGGTGAACGGCTGCACTGGCATACGAGGTAGGGAGATAGTTCTCAGCATCATGTAAGCTTTAGGTTGAAGCTTGGAGCTTGCACAGAACTCTTGACTCTTGGTAGCCAAATAGAAAAAAAACGGGTGAACAAAGGATAATAATTTTGAGTAGCTGGTAGGGCTGTCAGTAAGGTGAACTTTTTACTTTGCATTGCATGTTCAAAGTAAAGGTTCACGTTGAGAAGCTAAAACTTAATCATTTTTATGATCAGACCTTTACATACACAATACTGAAAAAATATAATATAATTTGCATTCAGACCGTCCATCAATGAAAAAATAAGTAAACCATGGGTGATAAAGAAAATACCCCCTTTGTAGAAACTATGCATTCTTGCATATTTTCTTCTCTTCATATTAATTTATCAGTCATGAATTTAAGCAACTATAAAAAATGTCTCCTGTTTAGCTAAAATTGTTTGACATATTTTGAGGTTCTCCTAATGCAGTGGTTCTCAACCTTTCTAACGCCGCGACCCCTTAATACAGTTCCTCATGTTGTGGTGACCCCCAACCATAAAATTATTTTCGTTGCTACTTCATAACTGTAATTTTGCAGTAGGAGGAATAGTGCCACGTCATTGGTGTCAGTGGGAGGAATAGTGCCCCGTCATTGGTATCAGTGGGAGGAATAGTGCCCCGTCATTGGTGTCAGTGGGAGGAATAGTGCCCCCTTCATTGGTGTCAGTGGGAGGAATAGTGCCCCGTCATTGGTGTCAGTGGGAGGAATAGTGCCCCGTCATTGGTGTCAGTGGGAGGAATAGTGCCCCGTCATTGGTGTCAGTGGGAGGAATAGTGCCCCGTCATTGGTGTCAGTGGGAGGAATAGTGCCCCGTCATTGGTGTCAGTGGGAGGAATAGTGCCTTCTTCATTGGTGTCAGTGGGAGGAATAGTGCCCCATCATTGGTATCAGTGGGAGGAATAGTGCCCCGTCATTGGTATCAGTGGGAGGAATAGTGCCCCGTCATTGGTGTCAGTGGGAGGAATAGTGCCCCCCCCCTTCATTGGTGTCAGTGGGAGGAATAGTGCCCCGTCATTGGTGTCAGTGGGAGGAATAGTGCCCCGTCATTGGTGTCAGTGGGAGGAATAGTGCCCCGTCATTGGTGTCAGTGGGAGGAATAGTGCCCCGTCATTGGTGTCAGTGGGAGGAATAGTGCCCCCTTCATTGGTGTCAGTGGGAGGAATAGTGCCCCCTTCATTGGTATCAGTGGGAGGAATAGTGCCCCGTCATTGGTATCAGTGGGAGGAATAGTGCCCCCATTTCATTGGTGTCAGTGGGAGGAGGAATAGTGCCCCTTCATTGGTGTCAGTGGGAGGAATAGTGCCCCGTCATTGGTGTCAGTGGGAGGAATAGTGCCCCGTCATTGGTGTCAGTGGGAGGAATAGTGCCCCGTCATTGGTGTCAGTGGGAGGAATAGTGCCTCGTCATTGGTGTCAGTGGGAGGAATAGTGCCCCGTCATTGGTGTCAGTGGGAGGAATAGTGCCCCGTCATTGGTGTCAGTGGGAGGAATAGTGCCCCCTTCATTGGTGTCAGTGGGAGGATAGTGCCCCGTCATTGGTATCAGTGGAGGAATAGTGCCCCGTCATTGGTGTCAGTGGGAGGAATAGTGCCCCGTCATTGGTGTCAGTGGGAGGAATAGTGCCCCTTCATTGGTGTCAGTGGGAGGACTAGTGCCCCGTCATTGGTATCAGTGGTAGGAATAGTGCCCCGTCATTGGTGTCAGTGGGAGGAATAGTGCCCCGTCATTGGTGTCAGTGGGAGGAATAGGAATAGTGCCCCCTTCATTGGTGTCAGTGGGAGGACTAGTGCCCCGTCATTGGTATCAGTGGGAGGAATAGTGCCCCGTCATTGGTGTCAGTGGGAGGAATAGTGCCCCGTCATTGGTGTCAGTGGGAGGAATAGTGCCCCCTTCATTGGTGTCAGTGGGAGGACTAGTGCCCCGTCATTGGTGTCAGTGGAGGAATAGTGCCCCGTCATTGGTGTCAGTGGGAGGAATAGTGCCCCGTCATTGGTGTCAGTGGGAGGAATAGTGCCCCCTTCATTGGTGTCAGTGGGAGGAATAGTGCCCCGTCATTGGTGTCAGTGGGAGGAATAGTGCCCCGTCATTGGTGTCAGTGGGAGGAATAGTGCCCCGTCATTGGTGTCAGTGGGAGGAATAGTGCCCCGTCATTGGTGTCAGTGGGAGGAATAGTGCCCCGTCATTGGTGTCAGTGGGAGGAATAGTGCCCCGTCATTGGTGTCAGTGGGAGGAATAGTGCCCCCTTCATTGGTGTCAGTGGGAGGAACTAGTGCCCCGTCATTGGTGTCAGTGGGAGGAATAGTGCCCCGTCATTGGTATCAGTGTGGAAGAATAGTGCCCCGTCATTGGTGTCAGTGGGAGGAATAGTGCCCCCTTCATTGGTGTCAGTGGGGGAGGATAGTGCCCCATCATTGGTATCAGTGGGAGGAATAGTGCCCCGTCATTGGTATCAGTGGGAGGAATAGTGCCCAGTCATTGGTGTCAGTGGGAGGAATAGTGCCCCCTTCATTGGTGTCAGTGGGAGGAATAGTGCCCCGTCATTGGTGTCAGTGGGAGGAATAGTGCCCCGTCATTGGTGTCAGTGGGAGGAATAGTGCCCCCCTGTCATTGTGTATCAGTGGTAGGAATAGTGCCCCGTCATTGGTGTCAGTGGGAGGAATAGTGCCTCGTCATTGGTGTCAGTGGGAGGAATAGTGCCCCATCATTGGTATCAGTGGGAGGAATAGTGCCTCATCATTGGTATCAGTGGGAGGAGGAATAGTGCCCCATCATTGGTATCAGTGGGAGGAGGAATAGTGCCCCGTCATAGGTGTCAGTGGGAGGAGGAATAGTGCCCCGTCATTGGTGTCAGTGGGGGGAGGAATAGTGCCCCATCATAGGTGTCAGTGGGGGGAGGAATAGTGCCCCGTCATAGGTGTCAGTGGGGGGGGAATAGTGCCCCGTCATTGGTATCAGTGGTAGGAATAGTGCCCCGTCATTGGTGTCAGTGGGAGGAATAGTGCCCCGTCATTGGTGTCAGTGGGAGGAATAGTGCCCCGTCATTGGTGTCAGTGGGAGGAATAGTGCCTCATCATTGGTATCAGTGGGAGGAATAGTGCCTCATCATTGGTATCAGTGGGAGGAATAGTGCCTCATCATCGGTATCAGTGGGAGGAATAGTGCCCCATCATAGGTGTCAGTGGGGAGGAGGAATAGTGCCCCATCATAGGTGTCAGTGGGAGGAGGAATAGTGCCCCATCATAGGTGTCAGTGGGGGGAATAGTGCCCCATCGTTGGTGTCAGTGGGGGGAGGAATAGTGCCCCATCATTGGTGTCAGTGGGGGGAGGAATAGTGCCCCATCCTTTGGTGTCAGTGGGGGGAGGAATAGTGCCCCATCCTTGGTGTCAGTGGGGGGAGGAATAGTGCCCCATCCTTGGTGTCAGTGGGGGGAGGAATAGTGCCCCATCCTTGGTGTCAGTGGGGGAGGAATTGTGCTCCATCCTTGGTGTCAGTGGGGGGAGGAATTGTGCCCCATCGTTGGTGTCAGTGGGGGGAGGAATTGTGCCCCATCCTTGGTGTCAGTGGGGGGAGGAATCGTGCCCCATCCTTGGTGTCAGTGGGGGAGGAATAGTGCCCCATCGTTGGTGTCATTTGGGGGAGGAATCGTGCCTCATTGTTGGTGTCAGTGGGGGGAGGAATAGTGCCCCATCGTTGGTGTCAGTGGGAGGAATAGTGTCCCATCATTGGTGTCTGTGGGAGGAATAGTGCCCCATCATTGGTATTAGTGACACCAATGATGGGGCACTATTCCCACTGACACCAGTGATACTTACCTTGCAGACCCCTGCTCCAGCCTGGGCTCGCTCGCTCCCTCCCTCTCCCATGGTACAGACACTTACCTGTCAGCTGTCTTCCTTCTCCGGCCGCTCTCCTCCTCTTCACTCGCTCGATCTTCGCGGTGCCGCTCGGCCCCTCCTCTCCAAGCTCCACCTCCTTGCCGGTGATTGGCCGCCTGTGTGCCTGAGCTACAGTGTCGGCGGCCAATCACAGGCGAGGATTGATCTCGAGGTGTGTCCAGATGACAGGGGCGGCATGTCATCCCGCCCACACCTGGAGACGGCGGGTGGCGGCGGCGGCGAGGAGCGGTGTCTCGGTTCCTAAGACCATCGGAAATATGTGTTTTCCGATGGTCTTAGGCGACCCCTGTGGAAGCGTCGTTCGACCCCCAGGTTGAGAACCGCTGTCCTAATGTATAGTAATTTGTATAAAAATGTACCTAGAAGTATAAAGATGTAAGAATGTCTATAAAACTATAATACTTATGTTAAATTGAGAAAATACCAAGATTTTGTGTACCAACAGTTATGTTTATTCTTTGTTTACCAAAACATACTCATGTCATTGCAGTTTTGTGCAAATAATGAGCTTTTGTCATCAGGCAGTAAGTCTTAATATGGTTGGCTGGGACATGTATCCAGAGGTGATGGTTCACTGGGGAAATCAGCAATCGCAGGAATATGCTTACTTGGTCCAGGCAGTTGAACAATGGTTGGGGCTGGTGGACTTGGCATGTTGTCATCAAGATAGTAAACTTGAACTGATCCCTTTGTTTTCTTAATATGGTGCTTATCAGTGCTTTCTTCTGATGAAGAACCATGTTCAGATAATGTATGGTTGTGATTATCATGGTGATGGTGATGGTGATGGTGGTGAGTTGGATCATGTGGGTCACAATGGCTTTGGTGGTCTTGATGTTGGTGACCAGGATGATGATGGTGACCATTGTGATGATGATGATGATGATGATGGTGACCAGGATGGCAGCGATGTCTGTGACCTTTGTGTCGTCTGCAATGCTTGCCTTTACCAAATTCGCATTTTTTAGGCAAATCCTTGCTTTGTCCTTGTTCTTGTTCTTGTTCTTGTTGCCCTGCCTCACCTGCTCCTGTCTCTTCTGCCCCTGCTTCACTGTGTCCAGCATTATCTTTTGATTCCTCTACCTGGGCACCTTCCTTTCCGTGGTCACAAGTGCCATGTCTGTGGTGATGATGATGATGATCATCATCCTTGAATAGAAAAAAATAATAATAATGGAATTTCTAAACAACTGTATTAAATGTATAATTTACAAATACAATTTTGATCATATTCAGTATATATTATTATTGCTAATTTCTTAGTGCTATAGCTTTTCACCCTTAATTTTATCATTGTAAAAAGTTTCAATGTTTCAATAATTTAAAAGAAATGTTTAGTCTTTTTTTTTTACATATGCAGAAGTGGTCACCTTGATGTATATTACCTTATCAATATATAGTATATTTGTATTTGTACATGTGATTAATATATTTGCTTCTTTGCTATGCTACACAATGGTGGTGCTTTATTGCTCCTTTTGCAGCTGAGTCAGTAAGCTCACTGAAAATATACACTCACAATGCAGCTGATATAACTCAGCAGTAGCATAGACAAAGTAATTGTCCTAAAGCACCCAAAGCTCACTCCAAAGTCAGTTTTTTTGTGTTGGTAAGGCCTCACTCTCTTAGCACCCTTCCTCCTGGCAGCAGCGTTTTTGCACAAAAAAAAAATGCTTGACATTTGTAAAAGTGTGTAACATGTTTAGCTGCATTTACCCACATCAAGTGTTTGGGTGTTAATTCATTTCATTGGCCAAAATAAATAATTCATTCTGGCCTTTGAAATGAATTAACGCTCAAGCGCTAAACATACCTAGTGTTAACACTCATTTAGATTGACAGTGGATTTTTTTCCCTGCCACTAAACTCCTCTAAAAGTTTGTGTGTGCATGGACACATAGACTAACATGCAGGGGAGTTTAGAGGAAGGGGAAAAAAGGCCAGGTATCCCTAGAAGCAGCTATAGAAATGTCCAGTGCACATGAGGCCTAAGTTCCCAGTCACACTAGTGCGATTTCAGGTGCGATTTGCAAATATAGGAAAGAGACACCAAAACGCCTCTTATGATGCAGTATGTAAAAACACACACACACAGATCTCCATCTAGCAGATCTGCTACTTTACAATCTGCATGCAATCTGCCAACATGCAATGTAATTACATACAGATTGGCAATGAACTTAGAATGAGCACATAGACACTACAATACAAGAATCTCTCTGGAAATATGAGCCTGAGTTTAAGTACCCAGAAGTCACTTATTAATTTTATGATTTAATATCCTGAAAGTGGGCAGTGCATAAAATATGTACAAAGTATAAAGAGTTACAGAAAATACAAAAAGACATACAATTGGTTATTCACTATAAAATAAAAGGGAATAAAAACAGAAATAAAACTTTTACCAAGATTTATCCTGTGACTGGAACAAGTCAGAAAAAGTCAGCGATTTGCCAGTCAAATAGAACCGGCTCTGTACGATTCACACCATCCAAATCTCAGGGTCCTCAATTTATTGAAATATGGATGTGGGCTGGACATTAGTCCATGGCCAATAAACCCTAAGGGTTGTTCCTGTACCAGCCCACAGGACGTTCTGGCTTTTGAAGTGCCCAGAGTCAATTGGACCCGGAACAGTTTGAATCATCAACTCAGGGATAGAATTTCAGACACCAGCGCACCAGCCAGATCGCGACAGTACCAATCACTGTTCAGCTTTCACAATCAGACACCATATAACCATTTTGTGCTTTTCTCTGGGATTCTACAGAGGCTAGAAATATAGTTTTACATGTAGATAGAGTCTACAGTATGTCCAATCAGAAGGAAGTATTTTCATCTCTCTGCAACCAATATTTTAGCTTTCATGAGCGATGAACAGATTCCTCTGATCTGTGGATATAAATCAGAAAAATTGGAGCCACTCCTTGTCTCCTGTTGCTTCCCGAAGCCGAAATGGCTGAAGCCCATCTTTTAGATTTCAAGAAGGTAGCAAACTCTGGCTACATAGGTGACAAAATTTTATTGACATCCAGGTGTCACCTCCAGCCTAGAAGCTGCTCTGTCTTTTCAGATGCTAATTGGTGAACATATGTCTCTGACCAAATACTTAACACTTATCTGTAATAACATGGAATGAATCTAGATCTACAATTACCTATTTATGTTACAGATACCTATCTGGAAGTGTGAGTTCTGTGAGCACAGAGTGGCACTTTAGTGTGTGAAGTTTAGAAGCACACATGCTAAATGTGCACACATGTTAAATGTTATTTGTTAGATAGTGCACCATAAGTTAATTTCTATTATGTATGATTATAAGGAATATATATATACACAATGCATTTTCAGCAGCACAGCATCATATATTGCACCATTACCAGGATTGAATTTAAAAGCTGTATCACGTTCATTTTGTTTTTAATAAAAAAAAATATTAATAATAATTGCCCTCACCCTTGGGTCATAGATTTCACAGGACACAGTATATTTCTCCTCTTTCTCAAGTGTATTATATGTACTACCAAAGCAGAAGCCAACATGCTGCAAGAGAAAACAAAGTTAATTCTGTTGTTGAGAATAGCATAAATCTGTGGCATATAAAGCTATGCATAGTATCCTGAATCTATATTTTATTTATTATCTTGGTCAACACAATATACTGTATGTATACTAATAAAAATATACTTGTATTTGTTTCTTTTGTTACTTCCCAGGCAGGCATAGCGATTTTCCTTACCTGTGACCACTGTTGCCAACTGTCAGTATTTTTACTGGCAGCCAGTAAAAATGGGCACTTTTCTCCTGCCAGTGACAGAAAAAGTTTTGCCAGTTAAAAAATAAGGCTATGGCGCTTGGCTCAGGAACTACGCATGCGCATTTCCGGTCCACGGCCAGCCGAGACCATCTAAATGCCTGCTACAGTGTGTTTGGGAACCGATGGGGAACAGGTCTGGTGGAAGAGGTGCCTGAGTGTGTCATTATTATTATTATTATTATTACAGGTACTGTATAACACTGTCAATTTACGCAGCGCTTTACATATATATAGTACATTCACATCAGTCCCTAACCCTCAGGGGGGTACAATCTAAGGTCCCTGACTTACATTCATACATACAGATGCTAGGGACAATTTAGACAGGATCCAATTAACCTGTCTAAATTGGCAAGTGATGTCATGGTCCAAGGGAGCCAAGCGGAGCAGCCGGAGCCTCATGTGTGGGTCTGTGGGAGAGCAGAAAGACAAGCCAGGAGCAGGACTGTCAGTGCTGTTTGGATTGGAGTGGACTGAAGGGACCACCTGGTGTGGAGAGACTGTCAATATTACTCAGGATGTATCATGTCGGTGAGGTGTCATCATCATCTGTGCTGCTGCACACTACTGTCAGTGTAACTGTAAGGCTGGGTTCACACTTGCGGTGCAGTATATTGCATGTGATTCGCATAAGAACTGCACTACATTCCTGTGCAAATTGTGAATTGTGTGCGGTGTGATTGGAGCCATACGTTTTGTATGGCTCAAATCGCACCGCATCCACACCAAAAAGGTACAGGACTCTTTTTTTGG